CTTATATGCTTCCGAAATATACTACAGGAATTCGTAAAGTGTGCTGGCATACAGCCATACATACTAGACTGACCCAATTTTACTCAATGTCATTAGTTTTTTGAGGCTGATAGCTAAGAAGTATCGAAAAACTCACCTGACCAAGTCTGGTTGTGAAATTCAAATAAGTATTAACCCGATGCGAGTTTCCGTTTAGTACAATTTTTGGCTCTAATATTTAAAAGCGTGTTCAAGGAGAGGGCGAGAGGAGATTTTGTGGAAAATTTACGCGCTAATTGGCTAATCATATGCTTTCGGGGTCGTTGAACACATTCAAGAATTCTTGAGAAATTCAAAAAAAAAATCTGAGAAAAAAGGAGAAAGCATTTAAAATTTTCACTTTCAGTGATGCATATTTATTGTTTAGAATTTGTTTTCATCAACCAAAGACAGCCAGGATCGTAGGTCATTCAAAGAACTTTAAAAATAAAAAAAACACAGTATGACATGATTGAATCAGTGTCAAGATATGAGCAAATATCTAAGTTTCAAGTTTCTAGGCTTGGAAATCATCACAAGGTGCACATGTATCTTATCAGGATAGTGAACTTGCAGAAATTAACAAAACTTAAGGAAATGAAGTGAAAAAATGATTAATTACGATTTTATCAATACATAATTCTTCTTCTCAAACAGTATACCGTGAATATTTTTACCGTCGTTTTCAGTCTTTCTTACACTAATGTTTCTATAGGTAGAATTTTCAATTTGGATCAAGAAGAAAATAATTTCCTATTATAATCTACAGTATGTTTGAATTCCGGTACCCGTCTTCGCTTGAAGTGAATGCTCCGTTCATGGTTTCTGACAGATTTACGAATCGTTTAGTAACGTCATTCGTAACTCTGGAGTTTTTCACTTTTTCCAACCCTAAAAGGTATCATTTATCCCGCGGCACCGACGAAGGATTTTTCTTCAAAAATTAAGTTGATATACTCATCAAAATTAAGAGTTCGGGTCCTCGTTGTTATTAATTTTTACAAGCTCAATTGTGGAATTGATTCTAGAGTCACTGTGGCGAGATCGCTTTGCCGAAACCATTTTTAATTATATTACCCAAAGGCAAATTTAATATAAATTGGAGGAGACCGACAGGGTTGAAGTAGAAGATTGAATTGTCTTCAGTTTATAACAGCGATATATACGGGATCCTTATGATATGACGAAGAAGAAATTTTAAAACCCAAAATGTTGAAAAATTAAAAGCTTTTTTACGCCAAAAAGATATTTGACAGAAATAAAAAATTTCGAAAAGATAACACCGTTTTAGAAATTTGCTCGTACCTTGACACATATTCAACCAAATTATACCGATTTGTTTTTAATTAAAGCTCTTTGAATGGCCTATCCTGACTATCATTGGCTGATAAAAACGAATTCTAAATAATAAATTGTAAGCATGTAAAGTGAAAATTTAATATGTTTCTCAATTTTCTCAGATTTTCTTGAATTTGTCAAGAATTTTTAATTGTGGAGAAAAATAAATGGTCCCATCGTATTCAGCGACCTCGAAAACATATATTTAGCGTACTAGCGTATCAATTCTCCACAAAATCTACTCTTTCCATCTCCTTGAACACACTTTTAAATATTAGAGCCAAAAATTGTACAAAACGGAGACTCGCATAGGATTAATATTTGAATTTCGCAACAAGACTTGGTCAGGTGAGTTTTTACAAGTATTCGAAAGTTTTTAGCTATCAGCCTCAAAAAAAATAATGAAATAATGACATTGGGTAAAATCGGGTCAGTCTAATATATACATATATATATTTTGTATGGGTTTGTATAATTATTAGTGGTATGAAAAATTATAAAAGAGGCGAAAATGTATGGGAAAAATATGAAATTTTACCAAAATAATGCATGCAAGACACATTAGATATTTACTCGACTTTTATATCATTTATATTGAAAGTGATCACTTATAAAATAATAAACAATACTGTTCTATTAAACAGCTAACTGCTAAACAAAACTGATCTATTAAATAGCTAACTGCTAAAAATTGCTGTTCTATTAAACAGCTAACTGCTAAACGAGGCTGTTCTATTAAACAGCTGATATGTATAGTAGGTATATTGGAAAAGAGCATATTAAACTTTTCATAGCCATAATCAACCAAAAAAAATTTCTTTTATAACATTCTATGTATACAGTGGAGCATATGTATATGGGAAAATCTTTTGAGACGGGGACTTTTCAATAAAAAAAATGTTTTTTTCAACATAGCACAATTTTTTTTTCATAAATGATCACTTGTAAACCCAATTGAAGTACATTATAACCCGCGTAACTCATATGTTTTAAATGCTACTCTATTTAAACCATATTTTCAGAATTGTTTTCTATTAGCCGGGTCAAGTTAGATTTTCTAGGTTTCAGTAACTCGCATAAAGCTGAAAAGTGGTGCGAATGTTACGAACGTCATTATAAATGAAATGTGAAAAGTCCTTATCGATCCCAGATCTACAAAAAAAATTAGTTAAGGTTAAAAGTCACATAAATTGATGTTTACGGTTTTTCAGTTAACCGTAAGATTTATCATAAAAATAGGTTAGATAAAAGTGTAGATCATGCAATTTTCTCTAAAACCCGTTATGACACTTTTTTCCTAAGAGTCACCATTTCTGGGATATAACGCCTCGATCGACATCCATAAAAAATTTAGTCTGTATGGGAACTGTCTTTCCAAGAACCCACATCTTTTACATGAGTATAGTATTGAGTACTGAAAATTAAATTAGTTTTTAGAGGTGAGCATTTTATACACCGACCCAAATACACAAACACAATATTACACCAGGGCTTATGAATTTTTTGGCCCTTGATTGGTAGTGGTCAAGGAAAAACCAATATTAAGTAAAAAATTACCCACTGATCACGCGTTTTATCAAGAAGATTTTTCAGCAATGATAAGTAGCACATTGTTCTTTAGCCTAGGATTCTTCTTCTGAAGAATTGAAGAAGTATATTTTATACCCGTAAATGTAAAATAAGACTACAAGAAAATTCACGTTTTTTATAAAATACGCGAAATTCAGTTACAATTGTAAGCAGCCACTTCTCTCGCATTTTATAACTGGCACATTTGTTTAATACCTGTCTTTTTATTCCTCAGAACCTACAAATAAATGGCTGAAAACCCCGAGCTTTAGGTCTGACTGCTCTAGAAGTTATACCTTAATAAAAAATAGATTTTGTGCGAGTTGCACTAGAAATTTCCTGGTTTTCTCGATTTTAGCAAGTAAACTGGTCACTTAAACCGTTATTTTTGTTTTGAAAAACTATTTATTGATATTTACACATATAAGTATTATTAACGAAGGTATAAAAACCGCACTTGGCATTGCAGCTGCTTTGTGGCGGCAACAATATGCCAATACGCAAAATGTCCCCGACTCAAAAGATTTCCCCATATACATGTGATATTTTGTATACTAAAAATATATGGATGCGACCCACCACACATATGTGCATATATATGTGTGCATATCACATAAAACGACTTAAAAAACATTTAGCTATGTTTAAATCAGAATTTTTTTTGTTAGTTGACCACAGCGGCGTAGCCAGGATTTGGCGAAGGGGGGGGGAGGGATGAAAAAAAATTTGCATCGATAACTTAAAGTTGTGATACACAATGGCTAGAGGCGTCGCCTGTGGGCATTCTTTCATATACGTATGTTTGTGCCATTTTTACCGTTATATATTTTTTGTGTACTCGGTTATTTCGTGGGGAATTCATGCTTTATTTAAATTTAAAAAATTCGTTAGTATACACTTCAGTTTTTACACATTGAATATATCTCCATATTTTTATATTTACGCGTACATATTTACATTTATTTATGTACAAGTCTACAAAATCTTATTACTTATAAAGCGATTTTTAATCTTCGTTGCTTAGCACACATTTTTTCAATAACTTCTTGTGCTGTAATCGGCACATCATTATGTACCGCTAACATCGTTAAACCATTCAGCCGCTCCTTAGTTGTATAAAAAGAAGGGACAAATAAGATAGCGTATTCAACAATTGAGTAATCCACTTGCAAAGTGCGCTATTTAAATTTTTTCGATTTTTAGTTTTTGGTGGGTTTCATATCCACTAACAGCAGAATGAAAAATGTTTCTATATTCTGAAATGTTAACTACTCTTGCAAAAGTCGCTATAATACTTATTTATACACTTTCAAAAGTCTCCTCTTCGTATGAACTTAGAAAACTGCAAGAAAACGTGGTAGTTTCGGTGCCTAATGGAAGAGGTCGCAAAAAAGAAGCAAACCAATCTTCCTTAAGGAGAGAACGCGAAAAGCTAAAAAAGCTAGCTATGTAAAAGATACTGGAATTTCTTTTTAATGTTACTAGGCTCTTGTTTATCAAAATTTTCCGGAAATAAAAAAGTTCGGATGGTACTTGTTGTCGGAGACGTTTTTTTTAATTTATGGCCTACTTAAAATCACATAACGCTGTTTGCAAGTGGACTTCTCAATTGTAAAGCACAATGTACATATCAATATTTTAATTACCTGTCCAGTAGAGATACGTAGATAAGTTTTTAACCTCTTTAGAGTTGAAAAGGTGCGTTCTGCTGTTGAAGTGGAAACGGGGAGAGTGGCACAAATTTTTAGCAACTTGTATAAGTTATTGAATGACGTTTTATCGCAGTTCTGAAGTGCATCAAGTGCAGTTTTTGGCGAAAGATTCTGCCTCTTTAAGAACGTTCTCCATAAATTAGTTTCGGCCACTATATTTGAGCTTTCAATAACTGGTTCATAAAACTCAGCAAGCTTAAATATATTTGTGTCATTTTCTTCACTCTGGTCTGTTGAAAAAATCGAAGCGAAACCTCTGAAGATCGTTTTATGTTGAGTGAATCGAGTATCTATTTCCATTATTATATGATCAATAAATGGATAAAAAACAGAAATCTTGAAATAATCAGCTAAGTTACATGCTTGCAGATTTTGACTAGATTTGTATCGGTTCTTTTTGAATTCAATATCCATGTCGTTTGCATATTTTTTACAAGTTCTGAACAATTTTTCAAAGTAATGTTCGCGGGAACGAATACGTCGTAGCTGCGCCACTAAGTAATTTGCCAAATCCACTACAAGCGCTAAATCTATCTGTATTTGTTGGAGTTTATTACACAAAGGCAGAATGTAGGAGAACATATCGACTATTATATTAATGGTTATAATAAATTCGAAGTCCAAGCTTCGTTGGAATATAATTGCATCAGTTGATGATCCGTCATTCCATTCGCCTATGTCACCCAACGCAGCATGTACAAAAGGCATTAGAGAAATGAAGTCTGATACCGCATTATATTTTGATGTCCACCTAGTAACGCTTAATCTCTTAAGACTTTTAACGCTTGGTGCTATATCTGCTGCTTCCAAGCAGCTTAAAATAACTGGTTTACTCTTCGGTGTATTAAAAAATGTGTACAACTTTTTCACGATGGCTAAAGTATGTCTTATTGGCGGTATTACACTAGCTTTGGATATGGCCAAATTAAGCACGTGTGCTGAGCAATGCACATAGCAAGCAAAAGGATACTCCTCTTGAACGTATTTTTGCACGCCGTTAAACTGGCCTGACATATTCTTTGCCCCATCATAACCTTGACCAAAAAGATATTGACAATCGATATTACATTCTTTTTATAGTGTATTTAGAATTATCAAAGCTAAATCTTTTCCACGAAGCGATTTCGAACACAACAAAACGAAGGAAGTCTTCTCTCAAACTTATTTCCCCACGATGAGTCTCATCAACATATCGGAGACAGATCGAGACCTAAAGTATTCAAATAACATTATTTATATTAAACACATTCCTAGTTGTCTACACTATCCTTTTAACCGTCTCATGATCATAATATAATAGTCAAAAAGGACATTATCAGAGTTATCTAATTCAGCTTTAATATACACTCACTCATTTATATCTGCGTACACAGACATAGAAATGTGCGTAATGGACTGCAAAAATAGGCATTTTAAGAACCACATATGTATTTTTATAAATAGTATTTTTAATGTGAAGTACATTATTTTATTATTAGAGTAAAATCATAGTAAAATAACACAATATACAAGCTGTACTTGTCTTTAAAAAAAGGACATACACTAAATTAAAATAAAAAAAAAAAAACACAATATTCCAATTACGAAGGGAAAAAACACTGAAATATAGCTATTCGGACCTACATACATACTTATGTACGAAATAATAGTGCGATTCATAAAACGGCAAAGTGGCGTTAGAGATAAAGAAAATTTTTTACAATTATATTTCGATGCAGGCTTAACTGATATACTTTTTCTTGAAGCATTCGAAGACAATAAAAAAACATGTGTCTCGCGACTTTGACTTTGCAATGATTGTCAGCTCAAATAATATGGCAATGTAGCAATTTTGTCGCAAGAAAGTTTCCATACAAAAATAATCAGCTGTGTCGCAAGGTGGCAAATTTTGCAACAAATGCGACATTTGCAACAACTTTGCGACGTTTCATGAATCCCACTAATAGTAGTGTGACATTTTGACCAGTTTTGACTATTCTTCTTTACATTGAATAATTTTTATTAATTTTATATAATGGGCCTTATTTTAATTTATAAGAGAATTTAATTTTAACTTTTCGAATCTATGAGTAATATATGATTGTTATATACTGGCTAAATTTCTATAATTTATGATTGTGCCAAAACTGAATGAATTGTGCCAAAAAGGCCCTTGTGAATGAAAATGCCAAAAATGGCACTATTGTGCCTACTTTTCCAGCACTGGATTACACGATACGAGACCCAGCATCCAGCCAATCAGAGCATCCCATGATTTTGTGCTCTAATTTGGCAGCACTAACACACCATGGGGAGCTAAGCAAAATGGTGAGATTCCAGTCGCTACGCGAAAAAAGGCACCGTTTTCGATCAAGGGATTTTTAGTTTTGTGTTTACAAAAAATGCTACAAGACTGCGTTTATTATGTAAAAAAAAAGTTTTTAATCGCGACCTAAGGATTTTATAACGCTAAAACATAGAGAAAATATATACAATTTTATAAATTTTGCGTCTTTCGCGTAACCAAAACTGACACCATAAATTCATCAATAAATGCAGTACTTAGCACTATTTTTTGCCAAATTCACACTGGCAGTTTATTATACTCAAAATTTGTACAAAGTTTGAAATTTGAACATGCTTGTTTTTATTAGGTAATCGGCATACTTTTATAAAAAAAACGTGTTAAAATGTCTCGTAGCTATCTATTTTTTCACCTCTGTGTGCTCTGATTAAATTAATGAGCTTGCTCCTATTATTTTCAGACCGTGTGAATTCGGATTTTTATGGACGGGAGAGAGAAGGGAGTAGAGGTTTAGCGTATTAATCTCAAACCGGGAAAATTACGGTATTATTTTGGTCTGATATTATACCTCGAAACCAGTTTTATCACCTGAAAAGCCTAGTGTGTTTCGCAAAAGGTCTGAAAAGACTAGTATAGGCTCAATATTCAAATTCATAATCCATCAACCGATAATTTTATATATTCATTAAAAGATAATTTGTCATCCGTCTGAAATAAAAAAAAATTAAATCAGGATACAATAGTATCGTGTTATTAATTCAAAAGTAAAAAATTTTAGTTCAATGTCGAAGGGGGGGATGTATCCCCCAATTTCCCCCCCTGGCTACGCCACTGGTTGACCATTGACCTCGGAATTCACGACTGGGAATTTATTTTTGACGAATCGAAACAGTTTGGCTCTTTTTATGAAAACTTGGAGTTTAAAATACTATTTCATTTAGGTCTCTATTAATTTTCGACCGCTAGATATTTGCTTTTATATATAATTTTTTTTTAGTTGCACTTTGACCTTGGATTCAAGGTCGAGAAACTGTTTTTGAAGAATCTGAATAATTTACCCGAATTCATTAATATTTGGGCTTTATAATGCCGTTAGGTTATGTCGCTATCTGGTTTGGATCGGGAGATATTTCACTTTGTCCATTTTTTCCCAAAACAGAACACAGTGCGCCGCTTTGACCGTATGTATAATTTTGTAGCAAAAACAAGTTGAAACCGAAACTTCGATGAAAGTGGTCAGAAAATTCGTGTGTGAAAGTTTTAATATTTCAAAAAATCAAAAAAAAAAAAAAACGTCAAAGTGACCTAAAAAAATTTATGGCGAGTAGCTTTTATTATTAACTGTACAATTCAAGTATTTTTCGGTTCAAAAAAGTATAGTAAGCCAGCGCAGTGACTCAAACTACGAAGTCCGCCTAAAGTGAAAAGTGTATTATGGCGTTTCTTCAGTTTTGAATTTTTGCGTTTTAGTTTTGTAAAGTTATTTCAAGTGTGAATGAGTTGGAACGTTACAATAATTATATATAAATATTCTAGCCATAGCAATCCATAAAAAATTTTCAAAATATCGGCGACGTCAGATGAAGATATAAGAAAATTAAGAGAAACGGTGCCCTATGATAACGAAAGTTCCGATAATGAGAAAGAAGGTGCTTTCGACAGCGATGAAAGCGTCATAGACGAGACAGCCGGGTTTACATACCGAAATGACTCGGGTTTTACCCGATCAATGGTTGTTGTTTCGGCCATCTAACCCTATTTGGGTCGGCGAAATTTCTTAAACGTTCTTCGTCCACATCTCCTCCGCACTCTTCTGCTCAGGGCTGCCATCGAGCCAAACCCTGGGCCGGAACCTACGACTGCTGCGCTTCCCAGAAACGATTACTCCCAAAGTCCACCTCAGTCAAGTGTAACTCTTGCGACGGGCGGAGTCACTTTCGAACTTGGTCAGCTTTCAGCACTCATAGACAATGGACCGCGTCATACGTGACCCTGTGCTGGTCAAACCGAGCTGCCTCTACGGCAAACTAGAGTCCGCCTGAGCAACTCTACACAAACGCGACCACAGACACAGCGGCATAGAATATTAATAGCTGCTGTCCAAAAGACGCAGCTGCACAGCAATTCAACACTCTTTGGCATTCAAGCCTGTCAAATGAACGGTGACGAACCCACCAGGTGACATAACAATTGTAAGCGGTAATCTGATAAACAGCATAACCTTTGCTGATTCTAGCATCAGACAATCTGCCCATAGTCATCTCGATTGATAAACCTGCCGACTTTGCTTCCGCGGAATACCGAACCTACATCAAAGCTGATGGGAGCGGCTTCGCGAAAGTTACTGAAAGCACCTTTTCTGCCCTTCCCACACCAAATGACGCTACAGCCTGCTTCATTCAAGTTGGATGTATTTCGGACCCCGTCCGAATTTTCGTGCCGAAGCGGCTGTCCTAGCTGATGAGCGTGACAACATTCGTCAGGCCACACCCGAAAATCCCCGCATTAGGGATCTCAACGCGGAGATTCCGCAACTTCTGAACGAACATAAGTGGAAGCAGTGGGAAGAGCATCTGAAGACTTGTAACTTCACCTCTGATATGAGCAAGCTTTGGTCAACCGTGAGATCACTGTCCAAACTGACGAAGCGAAGTGATGACAGAGTTCAAATCTCTTTTGGCGACCGCGCTTCGTCGGAGCCGGAGCAATGCGCGAGCTAATTTAGCCGAAAGTTTATACTGCATTCTCCGGCGGACAAAGCCAAACGTCGAGTTACCAGAAGACTGTACAAACCGCCAACACCTAGTGCGACTCTTGCCGTAACCAGCGGTGAAGTTCATATAGCAATCGTTTTCTTGAAATTTTATTTAAAAAAAAAATCAAATTGAATACAATTCCAAAACAAAAAATTTTCAAAATTGTATATCTGTAATGCATAGGCCCGCCTTAAGGCGGACTATATATTATATCCCCTAGAGGGTAAATTTGACTTCAAAATGATTTTCTGACATAAAAGCTATGTTGGTTGATATTAAATTTATAACTTCTAAATTTATCTTCTCAAAATAAAATGCATGTATTAGAGGGTTAATATATATTTCGAAATCAGTGATAACGAAAACCCTTAAATACCAACTTCCAATGAAATCTGTCAAATACATATTGAGTAAAAATTTAGTTCGTCCTATATTCTCGATTCGTCCATGATAAATTTAAAGTGCGATGTCATAGGTAGATTTTCGCCAAAATTTTGATATTTTTGTGCGCTTGTAAGCGGTAGATTTTCCCGCTAAATAACTGTAAGTGATCAATTTTTGACATCGCCCAATGTTAATTTATAACCACTCAAAAGGCCAACGACGATAAAGTAAGATTATTTTTAATTTTTTTTATTACACAATGTTAGCCCTCCTGACACCAAAAGGTTCTACGGTGCGATGTAAGTGTTGTTGTTCGTTAATCTGCAGCAGTAAATTTAAGTCCCCGATATAAGATAGACCTTCAAGTAATTGATAAGATTGAAAGCAGTGGTTTACTTACTGTTCTTGAGTTTGAATAACCAAAAATCCTGTATTAGATAAAGGCTCCGCTTCCTTCGTTAAAACTTCATAATCACATTCGTCCTCATACCAATTTGGGGATTCTAGTAGCATCGTAATGTCTAATTCTTGAACTTCTCGCGGACTCGCCAATGCAATCATTCCAGAAGAATTATTATTCAAGCAAAATG